GAATATCGATATATTTTTGTTATGCATAAAGTACTGTATATTGATGCATATTACTTAAAATTCAGGATTACAAGTAATTATGCATAAGTGCAACTTATTAAAGCTCGATGTTTGAATTCGTATAAATAAAATCAAATAGAGGATGAACATCTCATTTTAAAATATAAAATATAAAAAATCTAAAATATAATTAGAATAATTATCGAGTTCCAACAAAATAAATAATTATTCTCTTTATAAGAAAATTATATTATTAAACCAAATATAAATTACTTCGTTATTGTACATAAATTAAATTATAAAAAAATTGAATTAAAAAATTACACAAAAAAATGAGAAATTTCAGATAGTTAATTTGATATTAATATCGATATATTTTTGTCAAATTTTTATAATATTTTCAAACATATATTTTATTCAAAAATAAAAACATCACCGCTTTCTCAAAATCACATAAAGTCATATTATAACATCGACTGAGATAAATAATAAAATAAAATATTAAAATCACGATGTATCTCGTTGCATTGCACGAGTACGCTTCTAGCATAAATATACAAGATATCCCCATTTGACTTTACGACCTCACCGCTTGTTCTTCCACCATCAAATAGATGATCAGATTCAAGGTTTTATATTTTAAAGAAAAAGATTAAAAAAATGTAAATAGACCAAATTATCCTTAAGTTAATAGAAATTATTTAACAGAATTAAGTCTTCGGAAGTAAGGGACCCATGACATTATAAAACGTTGAATATATAATATTTATTTCTAAAATCAAATGTATAACGAATTTTATATTTTTTATTCGATTTCGAAAACCTTTTATCCCACCTTACCCTGCCGACTGCCGTTGCACCCATTTCATGGCCCGACCCACTAAAAAAAATTCGTATTTTAAATAAATCAGTAAATATAAATAAACATTTGATATTATTTTCATTTTACCAAAATAAGAAAATTCAATATTTAATTTTAAAATATGAACAAGACAAAATTGTTTTTAACTATAAAATATTAATTATATATTTATTTATTGATTTATAAATTTATAAGATTATAAATATAATATTAAACAATTATAATATTTAAATAAAAAGTGAATCATAATGATAAAGAAACTTTCCCCTGATGGGACCACCCGATCACCACTACACCCTTTGAAAATCTTCCCCTCCCTTTCAAAAATATTTTTAAGTTAATAAAATAAATTATTTTGGGAGAAAAAAAAATAAAAAGAGACGTTATTTTGGAAAAAAGTTAACTTTTTTCTGGATTTGCAAATAATCTTTTTGTTAAAAATTAAATAAAATGAATAAATAATATAATTTCTCACAGTTTTTCTATCAAGAATCCAACCAATTTGATGTCCCCATAACCCATTAAATGCCCTTTTGAAAATGATTAAAGAAACTTGACCATTTAAAAACCTTATATTCTTTGATAATGTTCTCAATTCTATCAAAATCTCTGCCATTCAATTCCTTTTTTTTGTTTCTGTTTGCACAATGGAAGCTTCGAAGCATAGAAGAGAGCTAAGAGATTGATAGCTTCATTTGCAGCAAATCTTGAATTCTTGATGTTCAGCAAGTAAGTCTCGACCAATTTGGGTGTTTTTTTTTATAAGTTCTTGAAGATTTCAAATGGGTTTTGACTTTTGATCTTTATGCTTGTTTTGATCTGGATTGCAAGTTGAAAGTGGATAATCTACTGTTTTTTGTTGGTGTCAAAGTCAGTGGGGAAGACCTGTTTGACCATGGTTTTCTGTGACATTCTGATACCTTTGGGATATCTAGGGTTTGAATTTCACCAATGTAGCTAAATTGGAAGTTTCTTTTTTTTCTGGTTTATTGCAAATTCCATCTGGGATTTGGTAAAGTTTTGTGGGATTTCGTTTTTGATATGTGATTATGAGTTGACATCAGAAAAATCGAGTCTTTCTGGAGTATGAACTGAGGGTGAAGCTTCTTTTGTGTGCTTTTTTGGTGATTTTAGTGTTATCAGACATTTTGGTGTAATTGTGATTTATAAAGGATCCACTAGGTGACATAGCATGCTAGCAGATGTGAAATGCACACTCAGAAATGTACCCTCTATCACCAGTTAAGGACTCAAGTGGGTTGCTCCTCTTGCAGGGTCCAAGGGGGCAGCGCCCCCGGCGGTGGAGGGGTTCTGACTCGAGCTTACGAGCCTTTCTGAGTAGGCTTTTAAGGGGCTGTTTGGTTGGTTTTCATTAAGTCCATATGGATCAAGCTGTCTATGTGTCTATGTGGATTTATCTGTCTAAAGCTCCTTCTTAGAAGCTTACTGAGTAAGTCACTTTCTATATCATTAAGCCACTACCAAGCATTCATGTATAGTTAACCGAATAAGTTGTGGGTCGCATTAAGCTCATTAAGCTGCTAACAAACATGCCCTAACTTAGAGCTTCTAAGCCTGCCTCTGGTGCGTTTCAACCTTATCCACAAGCAGTTGTAACTGCTATGCAGCTATTTACTAACCGTCTAACTACCCGAAACCGTCAATCTCTCCTATATAGATATATAAAACGGTTAATCTAGTGGATATATACTTGAGTTTTCTGCCTTAAGAACAAGTGTGACTTCTTGGATTATCCCAGTACCGATATCGTGAAATCTACGCCATTAAGGGTCGAAATATAGTATTTGGAGAGTGATCCAAGAATTATCCAAGTGATTGGCTCTGAAGTTAAAAAACTGACCTTTTTTATTCTTGAAAACAAAAAAAAAGAGGGAACAATATCACATATATACTTTGCAAGCAACCCCAAAGATATGGTTGGTGGATTACTAGATTCAAGAATCAATATCTTTGATGCACTTCTAAGCAATTTGATCACATGATACTTTGCAGATGTTATTTGGTTTCTTGATAATTTTCTTGAACTGATGCAAAATGAGAGTTGAGAAACAAGGTTCGATTGCAAATCGTGGTTTTCTTCATTTGTTCGATTGGAATGTGAAATCGCGTAAGAAGTTGTTATACAAAACTCCATATTTACCAGGTATTTTTAAACTCACCGATCGGAACCAGCTTTTCTGAAACGAAACATATCAGCATCTTTTCGTGCATTTTGACCTCCGGTTTGAATTCTTATAGAACAGTCGAAGCAGAAAAGGAGTAACGATACCAACATGCCAATCACTCAGTTTCATCCGGTATCAATCGCTATTCATCTTTATACTTTATTCGAATTTATACAAATCTGTTCTCATTAGATTTACATGAATTCTTGTTATATTCACAGGTGAATGAAGATTATACGGCAAATAGTTTGAGCCTTAAAGGAAGTAGTGTCTACAGTTGTGCATCTTCACAAATGAATGAAGATGAATATGGTAAATCCCCTGGGGTAGTCGCTAGGCTTATGGGATTGGATTCTATGCCGACTTCAAATTTCTCCGACACATTATTGGATTCTCAATCTATGCGTGATTCTTCTGCACCGTACGTTAGAAAAAGCCCCAAATTTGAACGGAAAGATTGTCCCCAAATGGAGCAAAAACATAAAGTGATAGAGAAGTTTCAAACCGGAAGTCTGCCTCCAAAATCTGCTAAATCGGTTCCGATAACTCAAAACAAGCTCTTATCTCCTATCAAAAGCTCTAGGTTTGTGTCTTCAGATGATCCAGCTTGTATAACAGAAGCAGCATCGAAAATACCTCTAGTTGGATCATCTTCGGTTTCTTCTTCCGCTAGAAAACCATCCAAGATTTCTGGAAGCAGTCGAAGGGTTGGGGAGTCGAATGCTGCTAGGAATCTAAAAGGGCAATCGATGAACAAAAGTTGGGACGGTTGTTTAGACTCAAAACCGTTGAAAGTCTTGGAAGATGGAAAAAAGTCCGTTTCTTTGGCTCTTCAGGCGAAGGTTAACATTCAGAAACGAGAAGGTTTGAGTTCTAGAAGTTTGTATTCAGCCGATTCGATCAATAGTCAGCCAAATAAGCAAAAGAATACACTCAAGAAACCTTCTACAAACAGTGTTCTCAAACAGAACAACCAGAAACAGAATTGTGTTCTCGATAGAGGAAAATCTGCTGCAAAATCTTCGGTATCTTCTATCCGTTCACAAAGTAGAAAACAAGTTCCCGAAAAGAACTTGAGTAAAGTTTCCAGAAACTCTACAAACAAAACGATCAATCAGAGAAAAGATTCCACGGAAGACGTCAAGAATGGGGTTCGTGATAAAAACGATAGAAACAGAAATGTAGTTAGATCGAGTGGATCGGATATTGTTTCTTTCACATTCACATCCCCGATTTCACGCTCTACAGATAAAAAGAACGAGTTAAATGGTTTAAAGTCAGCAAATGGAGGTGATTCTTTAAGTATCCTCTTGGATAAAAAACTAAGGGACTTAACTGCTATGAGTTCCCCTTCGGGTTCTCAAGAATCATCGATTAGTTTCAGAACACGAATCAACAGAATACCGATCTTTGAAGGCAAAAGAAACCAAGATCGAGTCAGTAAAGATGATTTCTGTTCCGGGTTCTCTTCAAACGATCGACATCCGAGCCTAATATCTCTAACCCGACCTTTTCTTGCGGAAAGTAGCATTTCTTCGGATACTGCAAATAGTTATATCCCCAAAGGTAAAAACCATAGACCATAAACACATGTTACATATACAATTTAGAAGAAGAAAGTTCGTTAGGAACCCACAATTGATTAGGTACTCGGGAACGGCCCGCAACGGCGCACGTGTCCCTCTTCAGATTGAATATTCATGATGAATATGGACATGTTTATTTATCGAGAATCACACACTCATGACAAATATATTACAACATTCATGATTAGTAACACGTCCATATTCCTGATGAATAACGTGCATTGGACTGGACGGTTCCCGAGTTCCTAATCAGTTTTTGGTTCTTAACAGAACCTGCCCCCAATTTAGAAATGTTTTTCATCGTTAAATCTGTTTTTCAAATCTCCAGAACTTGGTGCATTTTTCTCAAAGAAATCCACAATGATGGACGTTGATGATGCCGAGCAGTGCAACAAGTCGGAACCATGTTACGTGAAGGACATACTTTCCGACGTCGAGTCCATGTTTGAGGATTTCTCGTTAGGGAGGACTCGAAAGATCGTGAACCCACGTCGGTTTGACCAATTGGAAGCTCAAAGAATGGTCCTTGAGAAGCAAGACGAGCTTAAGTTAAGGCGTAAGCTCGTGTTTGACTGTGTGAGTGAGTGTGTGGACTCGAAATGCAGAGTTTGGGCACGAGGGCTAGCCGTGGTGCGAAGAAAAGATTGGTTAGCAGAAGAAGTGTGCAACAAGATGTCGGGGTGGGAACAGATGAAAGATTGTATGGTGGAGGAGCTCGTAGACGAGGATATGAGCGGTGATCAACGCCAAAAATGGCTCGATTATGATGTCGAAGTGTTCGAAATCGGAGTAGAGATCGAAAGACGATTGCTTGATTCTTTAATCAATGAAGTTGTTGCTGATATCTTGGTACCGTAGGTAAGGTTAAAAAACATAGGATTTGGTCGATTATGTTTATGGGTTTTTTTCCTTGTTGATTTTATTGCATATTTTTGGAAATCATAATGAGCAAATTGCTGTGAATAGTCTTGATTTATGCAACATGAATGTTTTATTCATTATGAATTTTGCGTATTTGGGTTAAGCGTGAACGGAAAGGAAATTATTCCGGGAAGTGTCGCCGAAGACCCCTACGACGTAGTTTTGTGAATGTGTTAAAAGAAAAGAGAGTGGTGCTATTTCGTAAGGGAACATAGCAATCGATTCGGAGAATCTGAACTCGTTGCATTTGAAGAGAGAAATCGTGAAAATGAAGAAGAGATTGGCTAGGGTTCTGTTCTTTTGAGGAAAGGCGTGTTTTATTAAACAAAGGAAGGATTGTCCTTTTTTTGGCTGAACATGAACTAAGAGGTGTTTTTGTTTTGTGCGAATAAGCTGATTTCTGTACGAATAAGCCCCAACATCATTTTGGCTGTGCAAATAAGCTCATTTACTCATTAAGCTCATTAAGTCCTAAGTAAACATCTCCTTAACCAACTTTAGTATTTCATTATTAATTTTTTAAAACCATTAAACTTCTTAAATAAAATCAATTTCTTTTACTATTTGGTGAAATATTTTTGAATATTTTGTGTATCTGATTTATAGGACTTGAAATGAAATTGAATTCAGTTTTTTTATAAAAGAAAATTATAAAAATAATTAAATAATGTTTTTTTATTAATTGATTAATATAAAATAATTGTTTTCAATATGTTTTAAAACATAATTACAAACAAATCATATGAAATCCCGTGAAATATCAACTACCTTATGAGATTTTTAAAATCTATGTTTGTTAGATTTAATGAGATCCTGATATTTAAAATCCAAACATTCTTGTAAACCATAACATGGAATTGGAATTTGAAATCTTAGGAATATCTTTGAGCTTCTCCAACGGATTTTTTAAAATGAAGAATTAAAAGTTAAAATTTTCAAAAAGAATATTACATTCACTCATCTTGAAGAATCCAACATTGATTATAATATTAAAATAATATATTCATTTATTAAAATAATATTTCTTCCTTTAAATATTTATTTTCAAAGTTTTCAAATTATATTAAAAAAATTATTCTTTTACATGGTAATTATTTTTAGGGTGTTCTCTGTATTTTAGAGAAAAATCCATTCTCTTTCCCAGTCTCTCCATTTTCATTTTAAAGATAGTTTTAGAGTATCTGTTTTCTCTATTTTGAGGAATCTGATGGAAATGCTCTACGGGATAGTTGGATTATGACAGTGCTTTATAGAATTTATTTGTAATAATATTTTAAAACTATTTTTGTGATCATCAACTAATAAAAGACGACTTGAGATCATGTGAGACCAAACTGTTTTCCTGAGACCCGTTTTTTACACTTGAAATTTCACAGTAAAACACAATGAAAGTAACCTTTACACTATTTATGCTGTGAAGTTTGGATTTTTTTTACCTTCACAGTGTTTTGCTGTGAAGTTTCAAGTATAAAAACGTAATCTTACGTGTCACACGAAAACAGATTAGTCTCACGTAAACCTATCCCAATAAAAGACAATCTAATTATTTTTATAATTACTTACAATTTTTTCTATAAATTATCTTTAGCACCGTGTTTTCGAATTTAGAGAGAAAATAAAGGAAAAAATAGGAGAGAATAAATTTCAATTTCATTCTAAATCAAAGATTCTAATCAAAATCCAAACCCATCACGTTCAAACCAAACAAATCAAAGATTCCAAATGTTCGTCTGAAATCTAATAATTCCAACTAAAACTGAGCCAATTGTAATCTAGAAAAACACACAAATACGATATAATACGAACCCATAAGACATCGGACTCTTTGTGATGCGATGATCGAACATTAGCCTCCCAATCATACTTTATATAAGAGTGAATGTCAACTTCAATTATAATAAATCTAAAATAATTTATAATTTTGATAATGTCTTAATTTCATTGGTCGGACGGTCGTAAAGCAGATTTTTTATTCCACAAAATGTGGCATGCCTTATTTTGTTCATAACTTGCTCGAATTAACAGGCCCCATTTCCTTCGCTTTAGTCCTTAACAAGTGTTTCTGAACCTTTCCTGTAGCGGTCTTCGGCAACGGACCAAAAACTACTGATCTCGGCACCCAATATGCCGGCATTTTCGCACGACAAAACTTCATTATATCCTCCGCAATTTTACTTTCATCCCGTTTCGGAACCCCTTCTTTTAAGGTCACGAATGCACATGGCGATTCACCCCATTTCTTGTCAGGTCTTGCCACCACTGATGCTTCACTGATCATCGGATGCTGATATAAAGTATTCTCAACCTCAACACTACTGATGTTCTCGCCACCAGAGATAATAATGTCCTTGGATCGATCTTTGATCTCGATATAACCATCAGGGTGCTTCACGGCAAGGTCGCCTGAGTGGAACCATCCATTTGCGAAAGCCTCGGAGTTTGCTTTAGGATTCTTTAAGTAGCCTTTCATCACCATGTTTCCACGAAACACGATTTCGCCGACCGTGGTTCCATTGGCCGGAACCGGTACCATCGTTTGGGTATCGACGACTTCAAGGCCTTCGAGGGCGGTGTATGGGACTCCTTGGCGTGAGTTTAGTTTGGCTTGTGTTTCAGCAGGGAGGTGGTCCCATTCGGGCTTCCACGCACATATAGTTGATGGACCATAAGTTTCTGAGAGGCCATAGGTGTGTGTCACACGAAACCCATTTTGGGACATTTTGAAGAGGACGGAAGGAGGTGGGGCGGCTCCGGCTGTCATGACGTGGACAAGGCGAGGCAGTGGGAGGATGGTATCTTTAGATGGGGCGTTTACTATCGTGTTGAGGACCACCGGAGCGGCACAGAAATGGGTGACACCAAGATTGGCGATAGCCGAGTAAACACCTTTGGCTGTCACCTGCATAAAGCACGGCAGCATCAATGAATGAGTAATACGCCAATTCTCTTAGAGATGGAATAAAAACCGGGCCTTTTGGTCCGGACCAGGCCCTTTTTGGACTGCTTTGACCTGACCAGATCTTTAGGACCGGTCCACCCCCATCTCTAACTTATATGTGGGTTATTTATCTAAATGACCTCCCGACAAGTGTTCTTTTAATCAATGACTTTCCGACAGCTTTTTAGGTGTTTTTGTATATGTAAGTGGCATTCTCATTCGGTCAGGATATGGATTTTAAACAAATCCTAACAGAAGGTCATTTAAGACCCAACAAATTATGTAGCATACATTTTATACTTGAAAACTTTACCAAATAAGGAAATGTTATGTTAAATTGGCAAGTAACATGTACCTGTCGGAGGCAAACGCTTGTCCCACAAATAGCAGCAAGAGTCCAAGTGAAACACCAACCATTGCAATGAAACATAGGCAAACTCCACAGGTATACAGCTCCTTCACGTATATCCCACACCACAGTGTTACTTGTAGCCGTAAGATAAGCACCACGATGATGCAACACGACCCCTTTAGGGCTCGATGTTGTGCCTGAAGTATAACCCAAAGCAATACTATGCCACTCATCTTGTGGTGGTTTCCATACGAATTTGGGGTCACCAAATTCAAGAAACTTCTCATATTCAACCGCCCCTTTTCCTAGAGCATATTGGAGATTCTTCGGATCACACTCACTGCTTTCATCCCGAATAACAATTAGAAGCGGTGGCTTGAAATTGCTTTGAATTTTTTCTTTCAGAATCTTCAAAGCTTCTTCGGCCAGTTTGAAATACTCTTGATCAACCATTATGACTGCAGATGCTGAGTGCTCTAACAGGAAGGCAATGGTGGGAGCATTTAGACGAATGTTCACTGCATTTATGACTGCTCCGCTCATTGGAACTCCAAAATGGGCTTCGTACATGGCTGGGATGTTTGGTGCGATCACGGCCACCTGCCAGTAACAGTATCAAGTGAGCTACAAATTGAAAACCAGTTGTGCTTAGTAAGCAAGAGAGAGACAGAGATCAAAATGGATGCACTTTGACTTTCAAGTCAAATGAATTTCTTTTAGAATTCAAATGATACGAATTTTGCACCAATCGAACGCCAAAGGTTTACAATTTGCATTTTGTCCTGTATAATTTACAAATTTTACAAGTAGTATAAGGGCTTTTAGTTTAAGGGATTGAGGTACCTCAAGCAGGACCTAAACTTAAATTGCGAAGGATCCTAAGTAAAATGATGAAAGATTTCATGTTGATCCTTGCTAGTTTTCCTCCATGTTGATAGAAATCAAGTTTAATCTTGAATGCAGCAAGTAATTTGAAGCTTTATTGGATGAATATGGTAGACATTTGTCACTTGATACTTGGTAGATTTGGGGTTTTTAAGTGAGGTAAGTCGGTTGTTAGGAGAAGTATAAATAGGAGGGTGGATGTGATTAGGTGTCGGGTTTATAATCAATTGGGTGTTAACCCTTAGGAGAGTTCTTGGTCTCTCGAAAACCAGAGTGTCTCAGAATCATTTGGTTATGAGCGAAGAATCAAATCTTACCCTGGCTTTGTTGGTAATCGGTAGCAATTTCTAACATTGACATCCAAACTCAGCTTAGTGTGTATCTAATTACATTAGTATGTTTTGAGGAAGTGGGTTTAGTACTAATTATCTTTAAACCGGAGAGGGAGCAGCATAACTTTTAACAATAACATTATGCCCATTATTGTAAAGTATGAATTTCAGCTGGCTTTCAAACCTATGCTTTTCTGAGTTTATAGCACTGTATTCATGGGTTTTTAGACTCTTTATGAGGCAAGTCTAAAAATGGAAGAGAAGGAGCTAGGAATCAAAGTCCCCTTTGTAACTAATAGATGTGTTTTAATCACTAATTTTCACCCAAAAAAGTTATGAGCAGCCTCTACACTTTATAAGTCACAAGCTGTTGAAAATTGTTTCTAGGTATAGGGTTATAAACAGTTGACTATCAACTTCAATCCTATTTCTAAAACCATCTTTTTGAGATCGATCAGAAGCCTTTTGCACTTTTTCTTCCAGTTCAATCGATTAGGTAAAAGAAATTAATCAACAACGGTAATGAAATAGAGCCAAATATAACGGAGTTCGATGATAGTTCCACCGCCGAACTCCAAACTAGAATTTCATTTCTACTTCTCTGGTCAAACGCATTAATTACCGTAATCAGAATTTATATGTACTTTACAACAAATATAACATCGTGTCTCCGTTTTAAGTTCATCGCGATCGTGATCGTGATCGTGATCGTTATTGTGATTGTGATTCCTCTTTGACAATTTATATATTATCTAAGATTCGAGATCAATGTTTACCTCAAAAGTCATCTTCGATTCATATATGCATGTTCAATAAAATCAAAATTGAAGAACTGAGAAGAGGAAAAGTGTTACCGTTGAACCAAATCCGACGGAGTGTTTGGAAAGCGAGGAGGCTAAACGGCAGCAACGGTGGTAAGTCTGTAGCCATGTGTAGTAAAGTGAGCCGTGAACCACCGATCTACGGTGGGGATGAACCAGAGCAGCTCTCTTCAAAAACCAAAGAGGCGTTAGTGCTGTGTAGTTTGCTTCATTTTTGGGCAAATCGTCGATATCTTTCTCCTTCTCCATCCCTCTTCCCTCCATGGCCATCTCTCAAAGTCTCTAGCAGCTTCTTTGTTGGATATATCGATAGACGATGATCGGTCAAATAGCTAAGAGCATCACAACCCCTTTACAATTTACATGTCCATATATAAAGGGAACGGATAATTAAAAACCTTAATAAGAAGTAGTGATAAAATTTGATTCCAACACATTTGGATAAAAACGCGAGTATATATATATAAAATACTGACGTGATACAAACGAAACATTGTAAATATTATTATTATTATACGATACATTTCGATTCATAAACATTTTTAAAATATAATGTATATTAGGTAATTGATATATTAGATAATTAATTTTAATTAAATATTTTCTTTTAAAAAATTTAATTAAATATTTTGATTAGTTGTCAAAAATAAAATTACTATATTACCTTTTTAGCTTATTTAAAAAATATTCTTAAATATCTCAAATGAATGGTTCACATTGAATCTCACAGTTATCACAAACTGACCAATATTCATTTGTATGGGATATATATATATATATATATATGGAGAGAGAGAGAGAGAGAAAAAAAAAGTGATCAATTGCAAATCACTCTCATCTGTGAAAACCTTACAAATCAATCTTATTCATCAATTTTTTTGATCAATAGACAAGATTAAATGTGTTTATATTAGAAAATAAAAAAGAAAATAAAAATAAAAGTTTAATTTTTAATTAAAAAAGGAAAAATTGTCAAATTTTTAATTTGTATGATTTTGTAAACGAGATAAGAAGATCGTGGAAATCTTAACATTAATGAAACAAAATCGTTGTTTTAAAATCTCTATATATCGTTTAATATTATTGGTTGGCCTGGTGAGGGTGATGGCCATGTCGAAGCTCTCCTCCTTGTCCTTCCTTTTTTGCCTTTCAAAAAAAAAATCTCTATATATCATTTTATCATTACAAATATTTTAACAAAAAATGTTAGAATAATCTAACAAATTATATGTTTGATAAAAATTATCTTCATTTTATGACTAAATATTATCAATAAAATAACATCCACATTAAAAATAGATCCAAGTAAGGAGTAATGAAACTAGGTATATCCTAATAAATTATGAAACATAAAAACATAATTTAATCAACAAAAAATAATGAAACCTTTTGAATACTAAATGAAATATTTTTGTTTCATTAAATGAATGATTAAAACTGTTTCACCGTTTATGTTATGAACTCACGTGACTCCTTGTCGCCTTTAATGAAAGATGAACCATTTGACATGTAATAGTGAACGATATATGAAACTATTTCATTAACAGTTATTGAAGTAGGATCGGACTCTTAATAATTTATAATCAAAACCAATCGAACACCACCATTGTCGTTACAATATTAATATTTTTTAAAACATTAGATACAAAAATTTAATTAATATATTTTAATAGATTAAATTATTTAACGTTTTTTCTTGTTTTATTTTGGATGCTCTTATTTAGATTTTGAGAGAATTAAAAAGGCATCTATTTCAGGATTTAAAAAAAAGGTAAAATAAAATAGAATTTACAACAAAATGTTCTATTACGATTCGAACCGTGTAACGGAACTCAAATTTCATTTGTTTGTGAACCAATCATTTCCAACAAACCGTTAATCATCTACACGTTTTCATCAAGTTTTATGACTACATAGCCTTGTAGTTGGTCCATAAATAAGAACACGACTTTTTTTCTTGAGATGTCGCTGTAAATACACAATATTTGTTAGGACAACCTTTCAGGTTTGTTTGATGAAGTAAATACATTTTAAAAAAAAAAAAAACGTTTTACATATAAAAAGTAATACGGAGATATAGAAGTCTGAGAAAATAGATAAACAAAAACATCAGGGTGTGTATGGTGTCAGCATTAGAGCATGTTTCGAAACATGACGATCTACTGTAGTTGTTGGTTTAAATGGTTGATCAAAAAACATTGTATAAGGTTGAGCACATGCTTTTTTGACATGACGATCTACTGTAGAATGTCCAAATTCGTCTGTCTATTAGCATACGATTTTTTCTTCTTCTATTTTTGACAACTAATCAAAATATTTAATTAAAATTTTAGAGGGAAATATTTAATTAAAATCAGTTACTTAGTATATCAATTACCTAATATACATCGTATTTTAAAGACATTTGTGAATCAAAATGTATCATAGTGATAACATTCACAATGTTTCTCGTGTATCACAATATATTTTATTTGTTTTATGAAATGTATCATAGCGTGCATTTTCGTTATTTTCATTGTTTTACAAAGGATATCACATTGTGCATCTTGTATGTATATTTGTGTATCATAGTGAATATCATTTGTAAGTATCACATTGTGTAGCTTGTGTTCACATAAGGTTAAGCGGAATAAAGTTCGTCGACTAAGATTAACCGAAGAGAGTAAAGAGGAGAGATGAGAGAATATATCTATAAAATCCTTAAAATAACCTTAAAAATTAATATTTTAAGTTAAAATTATCAAAATTATTAATTTCCTAATTTAACACTTGATTTGTGGTTGATATATATATATATATATATATATAGAGAGAGAGAGAGAGAGAGAGAGAGAGAGATAGAGAGAGAGAGATAGGCGGGTTGGTTTACGTTACAAACCGCATAATTCATGAAAACTATGCAAATCATTTTCGACCAATAGGAAAATTCTGTTTTTTTTTCTTTAATTTAATAAGTAAGGGTATAATGGTCATTTGATTGTATACTGTTAATATTGGAAGATAATAATTACTCTTAATTATGGAAATGTAATAATAGAAACATTAAATATAGAAAGTGGTAAATCAATTTTTCTTAATATAATTTTTTTTACCATTAATAGTTTTTATTATTTTATTAAATTATACTTATTAAAATATGAATTGTAAAAACACTACAATATGAAATCTGATTTCATTTTATTGAAAAAATATATGTAGTTTGAGCAATGAAACGAATGTCATGGTCAATAGTGACCATGAACACAATTTCACTGATGAATTTAATTTATTAATATTTCAAAACGTTTTATGCATGAAAAAATTTCACTTACGAAAATAAAGCATTTAGTTTTGAAAATGTTTCATTCAATTTTCAAAAATGTTTCATTTCTTTATATGTTTTAGAGGTTCCAGGTATAAATATAAGGAAGGAATAAAAATCCTCTTATAACCATGGAGGTTCAAATACGATGACTCCAGATTACCCAGGAAGTATTATAAAAGACAAAACTCCACTAGAAGTATCATAAAAGACAAAACTCTACTAGAAGCAAAGTTTAAGTAGGATTAGTCTACTTTCTTAAAATAGGGGGTTTGGTACAATAATAATAAAAAAAACATGTATTATAAGTACTAATTTTAAACATTTGCAATGTGACATAAATAATAAATTTGGGATCATGTGAAAACAACTTGTTTTCATAAGATATGTGAGACCATTTTTTTACACTTGAAACTTTACAGCGAAACGTTGTGAAGATAACATTCATAATGTTTTTACTGTAGAGATTCGACTTTTTTTTACCTACCAATTTTATTAATCTTTTGGTAAAGACGAGTAATAACGTCAGAAACATTTATAACAACCATCAATTATTAATCAGACAAATAAAGTAAGGCAGTGCTAATGGCACCCCCTTAATAGGGGGTGTTGATTGTTTGGGAACTTGTGCCTTTTAAAACATCAAATCCATTCCATAATATATCATATTTAATAATWATTATTATTATTTAATACATATATATGCTAATTAAGTTATATC